GAAACTGAAGAAGAGGCAGGTAAGCCGTAAGTGATAGAAACTAGGGACCTGGAAATAATGGGAATGTACAGAAGTGGAAAGTGAGTGCCACCGCTATCTCCTGCTCTGTTAACTGTGTTCCTACAAGTAATTCCATGAACAAGAGGGGGAAACAGGCTCAGCATCGATCTAGGATCCCCAAATCCTTCAAAATTTCCCAATTATCCGCCTGAGATAAATACCTCTGCTAGCCATTCAATGGACACACACTCTGCCTGATGCACAAAAGTATCAAAAAATACCATGAATAAAAATATGTCAAGGCCTTGCATGAGTTTAGCGTACACATGTGGGTCCCATTTGTACAATCTCTCATTTACAAATACAGGCATTCCCCAAGTTATGAACAAGATACATTATCTAGGTTTGTTCTTAAGTTGAATTTGTATGTAAGTAGAAATATGGACTTTTTAAACTGTAACTCCAGCCAAAGAGAGAGAGAGAGAGAGAGAGAGAGAGAACGCTTTGGATTGCATAGGGAAGGGTCAACACCCCTGTGGTGTTTGTTTTGCTGCCTGTGCCTCACTTTCACTTCATTTTCTGTCCCTGTGAGAACTGGATTTTGGAAAATTTGGCTTGTTGTGGAAACAAGGATTGGTACTAAAGCTTCAGTGGATGTTTTTGTTATTGTTTTGCTTTGCTATGAGTTATTTATTGTTGTATTGTTGTTGTGTTTTTTTGTTTCTGATGTATTTGGGCTCTGCCTCTTGTAAGCCGCACCGAGTCCTGTGGGAGATGGTAGCGGGGATTATTATTATTATTATTATTATTATTATTATTATGCAAGTGTGGAGAAGAGCAAACCACAGACCACTTACTACAATGCAGTCTGAGCCCTGCCACATACACAATGGAGCACCTTCTTACAGTGACACTAGAAGCACTTGAAGTGGCCAGCTTCTGGTCAAAGGACGTTTTTATCTTTGTGTTTTTTTTTATACAATATAACTTTCAATTTGCTTCTGACACGATAAACAAATCCCCAGATGAGGACCCTTGGTAGCAAGCACCTCTGTTTGGTCTGGATTCAGTTTTAATTTGTTTTAATATTCAATATGCTTCAATGTGTGTATTTTAAAGAATGTTTTTAGACAAATGTGTATTTTTGCAATGTTGTGACCTGGCCTCGAGCTGTATGAGAGGTGGGCAAGAAATAAAAAATATTCTTCTTCGTCTTTATTAATATATTAACACCTAATCTTAACATTTCCTGCCTTTCCATGTATACATACTGGCAATCCGGAAAGCCCTCAAAGCTTTGGAGCAGCTGCTTCTAGGAGACACCATGCAAGTTCTTATGGACAACATAACTACAATGTTCTATGTCAACAAACAGGGCGGTACGCGACCCCAGGACCCTTTGTCTCTGACCATCCAGATATGGGACTGGTGTCTCACCAAAGGGATCTTTTTGTTGGCAGTATATCTGCTGGGAAAGACTATTTTTTAGCCAACCACCTTAGCAGGGCCCCTCACAGCATGCACGAGTGGTCCCTTCATCCACAAGAGGTTAACACATATTCAAGCGAGGGGCACACCGAACAACACCAAGCAATGTCAACTGTACTCCCTTTTGTGCACAACAAACACAAAACAAGCGCCAGGGATGTCAGATCATCAGGAGAGGCCCTTCTTTCAGTCCCATCACCGTCACAATCCCCATGTTGTTTAACATCTACATAAAGCCGCTGGGAGAAATCATCCGGAATTTTGGAATTCAACATCATCAGTACGCAGACGACGTCCAACTCTATTACTCCTTTCCATCTAATGCTAAGGAGGCTGTTCAGGTTCTGAACCAATGCTTGGCAGCTTTGACAGTCTGGATGGGGGCTAACAAATTGAAATTGAATCCAGACAAGACAAAGGTCAGTTGGAAGGTCAAACAGGGTATAGGGTTACAGCTTGTGGTGGATAAGATTACACTCCCATGAAGACGCAGATGGCAGCTTGGGAATGGTCCTGGATTCATCGCTGAGCCTGGAACCCCAGGTTTTGGAAGTGACCAGGGGAGATTTTGCACAATTAAAGCCTGTGCACCAGTTGTGCCCATACCTTGAGAAGCCAGACTTGGTCACTGTGGTCCACGCTTTTGTTACAGCCTGAATAGACTACTGCAACACCCTTTATGTGGGGTTGCCTTTGAAGATTGTTTGGAAGCTCCAAGTGGTCCAATGGGCAGCAGCCAGTTTGCTCACTGGAGTGGCATACAGGGAATATACAACTCCTTGTTACGTCAGCTCCACTGGCTGCCCGTCTGCTACCGAGCACAATTCAAAGTGCGAACTTTAGCCTATAAAGCCCAAAACAGTTCTGGCCCAGCTTATCTGTCTGAATGTATCTCCCTCTATGCACTATCTTGGAGATTAAAATTGTCTGGGAAGGTCCTTCTCTCAGTCCCACCTCCTTTGCAGGTGCAATTGGTGGGGGCAAAGGACAGGGCCTTCTCAGTGGTGGTCCCTCGGCTATGGAACTCCCTCCCCAGCGAAATCAGGTCAGCCCCTTCCCTCCTCACCTTCAGAAAGAAATTAACAACATGGCTCAGGGACCGGGTCTTTGGCCAATAGTGGAATTATGTGCAATAACAACAGGAACAGCTTTTGACTTTGTCCTTGGATTGCGTGATTTTAATAATGTGTTTTAATGTTTATATTGTTTTTAAAACTTTGTCTTAATATATATGTTTATTTTACTGTCTGTTGATATGGCATCAAATTGCTTCCGATGGTAAGGCCGCTCTGAGTCCCCTTTGAAGTGAGAAGGGCAGGATATAAATACTGTAAATAAATAATGAATAAACAAACAAACAAGAGAGAGAGCCTTTTCAGTGGTGGCCCTGTGGCTCTGGAACTCCCTTACTACAGAGGTGCAATCGCCCCCCTCCTTGTTGGCCTTTTGCTCTCAAGTTAAAACCTTTTTATGGAACCAGGCCTTTTCTGACGATCAACAATAGGAAATGGCCAGATACGTATAGGTCATTGTATATTTTTGGAATGCTATTTCAGACCAGCAATATTTTAACACATTCTAAAGGAAATTGAGCAATTAGGACCCTAGATCAACTGTTTTAATGGATAATCTTAATAGCCTAAGGGTCAGGGAACTTTTAATGGTATAACAGTATAATGTTTTAATTTTTAATCTGTTAAATTTGCCTTATGTAGTGTGTATTTCTGTTTACTATGCTTATGTGATGTTTTTTGTTGTATTTTTATGCTATGGGATAATAGCTAAGCAGAATAAAAATAAATAAATAAATAAATAATATTCCTACCAAACCTTTTGGGGAAAATATCAATAAAGCTCCTGCCTCCACAAACAGCTATAACTCCCACCACTCAGGAGACATCAAAGGCCCTCCCTCCAATGACATTGCAAGTTATAGTGAGCGCCATGAACATGTCCAAGACCCCTGCCAATGTTCTCCACAAAAAACATACTATTCACCACCCAAGTGAAGGCTTTCATACGGGGACAATTCCATCCAAGATTTTATGTGTTTCCTACACCACAGACATCACAGTGTTTCTGACTCTCTCCATTGGTGTGGAATTTGCATGATCCCGCCCACTGCCTCTCCCTTAACCCTTTCCTATTCTTTTCTATGGAACAAAGCAAACAGAGGAATTGATCATCAACTGAACATACTAGAAAGGTTTGGGGAAAATTCACTGTGATTTATAGGAGTTATAGGTCCTGGTATGTATAGTTTACCTACAATCTAAAAGCACTCTGATAGACCTGGTGCTAACTTTGCACACAGAACCCCCATGACCAACAAAACATACTGGAGGTCTTTGGAGGGATTTATAGGAGTTGTAATTCACCTACATCCAGAGGGCACTATGAACACAAATAATGATGGATCTGAACAAATTTGGAATGCATACCCGATATGCCCAAATTTCGATACTGGTAGGTTTGGAAAGGAATTGGCCTGGACATTTTGGAGTTATAGGAATTGTGATGTATAGTTCTCATGCAATCAATGAGCACTCTACCAAAGATGGAATTGGACCAAACTTGGTACATAGAGCCCCTGTGACCAGCAAAAAATACTGGAGGTCTTTGGGGAAAATTTACCTTGATTTGGGGGAGTTGTAGCTCACCTACATCCAGAGAGCACTGTCAACCCAAAAACCGAGGAATCAGGACTAAACCTGGCACACAGATCCGGTATGCCGAAATTTGATTATTGGAGGGGTTTGGGGGAACGGACCTTCCTTTCTGGGAGTTGTAGTTCACCCACAACCAGAGAAACTGTGACCTCCACCGATGATGGACCTGGACCAAACTTGGCACACAGAACCCCCATGACTAACTCAACCTACTGGAGGGCTTTGAGGGGACTGACTCACCATAGTGGGAGATGTAGTTTACCCTACAGCAAGAGGGCACACTGAACCCCAATGATGATGCATCTGGAGAGCAAATTTGCCGAACATAACACACTTTAAGTACTGATGGAGTTTCTCGGGGTTAACCTGGCATGATGTGAGTTGTAGTTCAAACACAACCGTATGCATTTTGTACAGTTTAAAATACATATTTTTCCTTTAACCCAGGCAACACCGAGTACCCAAGCTAGTATCTATATAAGTATAAGAGAGCACAAAAATTAAAACGGAATTAAATAAAGAAACATTACAAACAACATAAGAGGAGAATAATAAACATCTATTAGAAACACAGCACTCTCTTGACTGGGTCTTTAAAATAAATAGCCATCATTATGATTATTATTACGATGATCTCTCTTGACAGAGAACGAAAGCAGGCCTTTGAGGCCTATAAGGAGTTCGTGTGAGACTCTGCCTGTCACGAAAGGGGGGGAAAGGGGGGGGTTCTTCCGCTCAGACCTCGAATGGAAAGAAAAGTGGGGGGGGGTCTTCCCCTCAGAACTCGAATGGAAAGAAAAAGGTGAAATGACGACGGCTGTCGAGGCTTAAAGTCGCTCTCACCTCGTCCTCCTTCTTTCCCTTGTGGAAACCGGCCAGGAACGGCAGCAACCACCTCAGAGTTCCCGGCTCTGGCGTCTACTCCGACCCACTTCCGGGTTCGCCGCCGCCATATTGGAAACGAACGCGGACTTCCGGGCGGGCGGGAAGGGCGGGCCTACGAAACTATGGCGACACTTCCGGTTTCCCCCTCTCTCTTTCTCTCTCCCAGGCCCAGTGACGTCACGTTTAGGAGTTGAGCGCGTGTCAAAAGCAGGAGGAGAGGGATCCCCAAGCCGCAACATTGCAAGAGAAGGATCCTTATGGATGTGACGTCTGATGGGAGGCCTTTCCACTCTGCCATACACAATCCAGATTATCTGCTTTGAACTGGATTATATGGCAGTGTAGACTCATATAATCCGGTTCAAGGCAAGCAATGTGGATTATTTGTTTTGAACCGAATTATAGGGCAGTGTAGACTCATATAATCCGGTTCAAAGCAAGTAATGTGCTTCATCTGTTTTGAACTGGATTATATAGCCCCTTAGGAGCCCCCGGTGGCGCAGTGGGTTAAAGCGCTGAGCTGCTGAGCTTGTTGATCGAAAGGTCGCAGGTTCGATTCCGGGGAGCGGCGTGAGCTTCCGTTGTCAGCCCTAGCTTCTGCCAACCTAGCAGTTCGAAAACATGCAAATGTGAGTAGATCAATAGGTACCGCTCCGGCGGGAAGGTAATGGCGCTCCATGCAGTCATGCCGCCCACATGACCTTGGAGTTGTCTACGGACAACGCTGGCTCTTCGGCTTAGAAATGGAGATGAGCCCCACACCCCAGAGTCAGACATGACTGGATTTATTGTCAGGGGACTACCTTTACCTTTACCTATATAGCCCCTTCCACATAATTCACATGATCTGCTTTGAATTGGATTGTACGAGTCTTCGCTGCCTTATAATCCAGTTTAAAGCATATAATCTGGATTAGTCCAGATTATCAAAGCAGATGGTCCAGATGATCTGCTTTGAACTGGATTATTTGAGTCTACACTGCCATATAATCCAGTTCAAAGCAGATAATCTGGATTTTACAAGGCAGTGTGGAAGGGGCCTCATATAATCCAGTTCAAAACAGATAAATGGGGATTACCTGGTTTGATAATCTGGATTAAGTGGCAGTGTAGATTCTTCAGAAGGAGCTTGAAAACATGGATGTTCCAGTGTGCCTTCCCAGATTAAGGAATCCCAAGCAATTGTCCCTAATGCACTTTATAAGAGTGTTAGAATTGTCTGCACACCCTTCTATTCCCAAAATATCCATCCTACCTCACCTGGACATGCCCAGCATTTTTAGAATTTTAACTATTACATTTGGCCCTGCCACAGGTTTTTAACATGCCCAGCATTTTTAGAATTTTAACTATTACATTTGGCCCTGCCACAGGTTTTTAACAGTGTCGTGCTTTTGTTACTGTTTTATTGCTTGCTTATTTATTGTTGCATTGTATTGCTGTCTGTTGTGTTTTTGCTAATGATGTACTTTGGGCTCGGCCTCTTGTAAGCCGCACCGAGTCCTGCGGGAGATGGTAGCGGGGTACAAATAAAGGTTTATTATTATTATTATTATTATTATTATTATTATTATTATTATTATATAATCTTGTTCAGAGCAGGTAATGTGGATTATCTATTTTGAACTAGATTATATGGCAGTGCAGACTCATACAATCCAGTTCAAAGCAATATCCAATCTGCTTCACTCCCAGTTCAAAGCAAGTAATGAGGATGATCTGCTTTGAACTGGGTTATATGGCAGTTTAGACTCATATAATGCAGCTCAAAGCAGGGAGCCCCCAGCTATGCAATGGGTTAAACCCTTGTGCTGGCAGGACTGCTGACCGAAAGGTCGGTGGTTCAAATCCGAGGAGTGGGGTGCGCTCCCATCTGTCAGCTCCAGCTTCTCATGCGGGAACATGAGAGAAGCCTCCCCCTGGGCAACCTCAAGTCGTTCCTGTCGTGAAAAAACAAATCCAGCTCAAGGCAGATAATGTGGATTATCTGTTTTGAACTGGATTACATGACAGTGTAGACTTATATAATCCAGTTCAAAGCAAGTAATGTGGATGATCTGTTTTGAATCAGTTTATAGCAGGGGTCCACAAACTTATTAAACAGAGGGCCAGGTACAGTTCCTCAAACTGTTGGAGGGCCGGATTATAATTTGGAAAAAAAACCCACTCATTATCTTATCTGTAGTGTAAAAAATACTTTAAAACAATACAATAATTAAAATGGGGAACAATGTTAACAAATATAAACTTATTAGTATTTCAATGGGAAATGTGGGCCTGCTTTTGGCTGATAAGATAGGATTGTTGTTGTTGTTGCTGTTGTGTGCTTTCAAGTCGTTTCAGACTTAGGTTGTCCCTGAGCGAGGGCCGGGTAAATGACCTTGGAGGGCCGTATCCGCCCCCCCGGGCCTTAATTTGAGGACCCCTGGTTTATAGGGTGGTGTAGACTCATATAACCCGGGTCAGAGCAGATAATATGGATTATCTATTTCAGTCCCTTTTCATCAGAGAGGGCCACCTGACCTAGCAACAGCCAATCCTTCATCTGGCAACATCCATTCAGCTTCACTCCCTTTCTTTTCATCACAGAGGGACACTTCACCTAGCAGCAGCCAACCTGTTTTGTTTCTTTCCTTTTTGTTAGCTCTGGTCCTGAAAGGGTTGGTTGTTCTAGTTTAAATAGTTGGATTATTTTAAATTTGATAATGAAGAGTATGTGTGCCAAGTTTGGTCCAGATTGGATTAAGCTGTGTTATTCTACTGTTTGATATAATAATGATAATTTATTATTTACCTCTCCTTGTGGCTCAAGGAGGGGTATAACTGAGTTAAAACAATGAGGTCAAACAAAGCACTATGAAAAATACATATAGCAAATATACACAGGTAAAATGTGGCTTAAAAATTACCAGATACCTAATAATAATTTAGATGCAGCCTGGAACTACTTCCTCAGAGGCTTGGCAGTAGACAAAGTCTAGGAAAGTTTATGCTGCATTATCCTCAAAAGTTGCAATATTTGCATGCAAATATGCCTATGCCAAATAATGCTAAATGTCATCAAGATGCTGTGGAGAAGGTATCTGTTCTTACCCTGAGAAAGCTGTCAGTCTCCAGTCATCTCTTTCGATTTCAATGACCTGTTTGTCCCGGTGGTTGCAGCACCTACAAAGACAGATCAGGTTCATGAATAAGTTAAGACAGGTTGTCTCGTAACAGCTGAAACTTGAAACCATGAATTTCAATTTCATTCAGGGGTGTATCACGGAGGAAAGTGGCTCCTTCAAAAAGTTGGGAAAGAAGTGCTCAAGAGGGCAACATAGAGATAGAAAGGATTAGCTCCTGGCCTGTATGTGTGCAGTGCTTAGATGCAGTCACAAGACAGTATAGGGATAGAAAGGCTTAGCTCCTGGCCTCTAGGTATGAATGTATGCAGTGCTCAGATGCCGCCACAAGAGGGCAGTATAGAAATAGAAAGGATTAACTCATGGTCTGTATGTATACAGTGCTCAGATGCAGCCACAAGACGGCAGTATAGAGATAGAAAGGATTAGCTCCTGGCCTGTATGTGTGCAGTGCCTAGATGCAGTCACAAGACAGTATAGTGATAGAAAGGCTTAGCTCCTGGCCTCTAGGTATGAATGTATGCAGTGCTCAGATGCAGCCGCAAGAGGGCAGTATAGAGATAGAAAGGATTAGCTCCTGGTCTGTATGTATGCAGTGCTCAGATTCAGCCACAAGAGAGCAGTATAGAGATAGAAAGGCTTAGCTCCTCGCCTCTAGGTATGAATGTATGCATTGCTCAGATGCAGCCACAAGAGAGCAGTATAGCGATAGAAAGGATTAGCTCATGGTCTGTATGTATACAGTGCTCAGATGCAGCCACAAGAAGGCAGTATAGAGATAGAAAGGATTAGCTCATGGTCTCTATGTATACAGTGCTCAGATGCAGCCGCGAGATGGCAGTATAGAGATAGAAAGGATTAGCTCCTGGCCTGTATGTATGCAGTGCTCAGATTCAGCCACAAGACGGCAGTATAGAGATAGAAAGAATTAGCTCCTGGCCTGTATGTATGCAGTGCTAAGGTGCAGTCGCAAGACAGTATAGTGATAGAAAGGCTTAGCTCCTCGCCTCTAGGTATGAATGTCCGCAGTGCTCAGGTGTAGCTACAAGAGGGCAGTATAGAGATAGAAAGGATTAGCTCATGGTCTCTATATATACAGTGCTCAGATGCAGCCACAAGACGGCAGTATAGAGATAGAAAGGATTAGCTCCTGGCCTGTATGTATGCAGTGCTTAGATGCAGTCACAAGACAGTATAGTGATAGAAAGGCTTAGCTCCTTGCCTCTAGGTATGAATGTATGCAGTGCTCAAATGCAGCCACAAGAGGGCAGTATGGAGATAGAAAGGATTAGCTCATGGTCTGTATGTATACAGTGCTCAGATTCAGCCACAAGAGAGCAATATAGAGATAGAAAGGATTAGCTCATGGCTTCTAGGTATGAATGTATACAGTACTCAGATGCAGCCACATGACGGCAGTATAGAGATAGAAAGGATTAGATCATCACAAGAGAGCAGTGTAGAGATAGAAAGGATTAGCTCCTGGCCTGTATGTATGCAGTGCTTAGATGCAGTCGCAGGACAGTATAGTGATAGAAAGGCTTAGCTCCTCGCCTCTAGGTATGAATGTATGCAGTGCTCAGATGCAGCCACAAGAGAGCAGTATAGAGATAGAAAGGATTAGCTCCTGACCTCTAGGTATGAATGTCCGCAGTGCTCAGGTGTAGCTACAAGAGGGCAGTATAGAGATAGAAAGGATTAGCTCACGGTCTGTATGTATGCAGTGCTCAGATGCAGCCACAAGACGGCAGTATAGAGATAGAAAGGATTAGCTCCTGGCCTGTATGTGTGCAGTGCTTAGATGCAGTCACAAGACAGTATAGTGATAGAAAGGCTTAGCTCCGGGCCTCTAGGTATGAATGTATGCAGTGCTCAGATGCAGCCACAAGAGGGCAGTATAGAGATAGAAAGGATTAGCTCATGGTCTGTATGTATACAGTGCTCAGATGCAGCCACAAGAG